TGTGTTTTCCTGGTTGATCCCTGACTAATAGAGTAGTTGAGTCTCAGAGTAGTTTGGACTTTATAGCATATTATAATACTTGAAAACACAAATATTTTTGTACATGTATGTCTGTGAGAGTTAGTATACAAAGGGGCTCTTCAAAAGGTGTATGGACATTTTCCAATTCCATTTTTCCATGAACTTTTTGAAGCCCCATCACTTACTGTCATTTAGTTGGTTCCGACTCATACAGACCTCGTATGACAGAGTAGAACTGACCCTGTAGTTTTCTAAAACTGTAACTCATTCTGAGAGTAGAAAGCACATCTTTCTCCCAAGGAGCTGCTGGTAGATTTCAACTGCTAACCTGTGCTTGGCAGCCCAACTACATAACCCACTACGCCAATTTTTCTTAAATATCACTTCAATACTTTGCATTGTAATTTAATACTATTTCTTAAAACTTTATACATAGTAGAAAGAGAACTGTTGCTGTTTAGTGAATTATATTTAAAAATAACATTCAGCCTCCCTCCCCTCCTTCTCCAATCTTCTTTCTTATCAGATACTTATAAAACATTTGTGTTCTTTCCTCTAACTTATCGCTCCCGGATATTTATTTTAAACTTCAGTTGTCAGGTCCTATAAATCACTCATCCACAGACTTAAAAAAATTTTTTTCATCTCGTCTGAATTTAAAATGAAAACAAACATTTCAGTATGTATCCTATTTCATTTCCAAAAGTTTATAGTACTGTTTTATTATGTTCACAGAAATGTGAAAAAACATTGATATTACAAAGTAAATATAAATAAAAGTTCTAGTATTCTCTTTCTACACCTCAAATGGTAATCTTGTACCTATCTTACTTTGAAGTCACTCCCTTCCCCTGTTTCCCAAGTGATGATGTGCAAAGATGATTCAGAGATTCACCTCTTTAACAGCCAGAATGGAGCCTGTTTTAATGTGCCTATTAATTATCAACAAACAAAATGATTATGTTAGCTTTTTCTCCTTAAAATGGAACACCATGGGAACCTCCAGAAGTCCAGTGAGTAAGTAGTCAGGTCAGTTATTGCAGTTTAGCCACAACACACTTATATTTTTACCTGAATACTGTTAACAACAGTCTTGATACCTACACAGTTTTTTATTGTTTTTAATCTTTCATTAATTGGTATTTAATATATACCTTAGATGGAGGCAAAAAGGAAAATACTGGTAAAATACTAGTGAAAAGTATTGAAATGGAATATTTCGAAGTTTCGCTTTAAGGGGCTTTGGTGCACTGGGTGACTGGATAGGGTTCTTCTAGCCATGGATTTTGTAACTCCTATCAAATGACTTTTTACCCGATTGGTCTGGGAAAGCGAAGGGAGTGGAAGAGGCTGATAGGATTATCCAATTAAGTTCTGAGTGATTGCTAACAGAGCTGTGGTAATTAGATGATCCTATGTCAACTTGAATTTTTATGAAAGTGTAGGTTTGGAATCCAACCTGTCTATCAGGTGATGGCCTGATGATGCCTCCTTGGGGGTGTGGCCTTCTCCTAAGCACAGAACTTGGGAACCACCCCTTCTCTGCAGCTGCTTGGTAGGACTCTGCTGTCAACTCTGAGAGCTGTCACACCCTGCCATGTTTCCAAGGACCTTGGATTCAAGCAACTCTGCACCAACTGGCCTGTGATCTTCTTGCTTCCTGGTTCAGTGGCCTGCAGCTACATGAGTCTGAAGAGGGATTTATGGATTACCATAGGTCTGTTAGTCAGGTTGACTAGAAAAACAAATCCAGAGACACTCATATATGTGTAAGAGTGAACTTTATATCAAAGAGTAGTAGCATATTAAGAAAGCATTCCAGCCCAGTCCCAGATCAAGTCATAAGTCCAATATTAGCCCATATGTCCAATGCCAGTCTATAAATTCCTCTTCAGACTCATGCAACACATGCAATGACGCCGAATGCAGGAAGGTCACAGGCCAGTGGGTGGAAAGTCTTGTGGATCCAGTGGCAGTAGAAACATCTCAGTGCTGGCAGGGGTCTCCACGTGGCTCCTTCAACTCCAGGGCTCTAGTGTAGGTCCATGTGTCTTGCCCACAGGAATGTCTCACAGGAAGTGAGTCTGCCTCCTGCCTCCAGTGAGCTATTTATCTCCTTACTGC